TGGAACTGGATTGAAGGCTTGACCGGGTTGGGTTGTTTTGGAGAGCTTGAACGTTGAAGCGTTTAGGAGTTATGAGGAGAATGTGTCAACATAACGGAGCCAGGTGACAGACAAGGAATAATGGTGGAGAAACGTTCGGCTTCTAGATGTTCCATGTATAGGTTCGCCAGGACTGCACTGAGTGGCGAACCCATGGTAGTCCAAAGTCTGCTGAAAGAGGTGATTTTCGAAAGAGAAACATGTAAAGCCAACACATAGTTCAACAAGGTCGATGAAATCGCTGGAAGAAGTCGACAACACTCTTCCTTCCTTGATGTTCTGCTCTGCAAAGCTGACCACGAACTTCGTTTTAAAAGTCCATCGAAAACCCACCAACCAAAACGATCTCTCTCCACTTCTACTCTCACCACGTACACCAAAACCAAACGTGGTGTAATTATAGGCCTTCTTCCTGCGTGCACTTAGAATCTGCAGCAACGAGTTCCTTGAGGAAGAATGCACTATAATTGAACAAATATTTTCTAAACTCCACTATCCTCGTCACTTCATCAGAGACTGCAGACGGCGAGCATTAAACATCTTCAACACACCCAGAGAAGACACTGCCGAGAAGAGATACATAGTCCTTCCCACCAGCTCCATTGCCAAACATGTTTCCAACATCTTTGCCAAAACATCATTCCAAGTATCTACCTCCACAACCACGACCATCAAGGACATCACCAGTAGTAGGCAGGACAAGCCTCCATCCTCTGCAGGGGTATACATAATCCCTTGTAATGACTGCAACAAGTTATACGTGGGCGAAACATCAAGGGACCTCCAAACACGTATTTCAGAACACCAATACGCAAGCAGGTCTGACAACACAAGGAATACCTGCATACAACACCGTAATTCACACAACCACTTGATAAACTACAGAAACTCAAGACTTATCGCCACAGAAGACAACACTCAATGCCGAAGAATCCTGGAATCATCACTTATTTCTATATCCGACAACTTCAACCAGAATAGTGGCTTCTATAACATAGCTGAACCACTTGCCAAGAAACTTCTTCATCGCTATCCCACATAAGTACACTGTAGAAGGTCTGCTCACAAACTTATCCAATCTCCTTTCCAAGCTACCCAAGTTTTTAGACTCTATAACCCCACTCGGTACATCATCAGATGCAGCATTCTTCACCTGACCTCAGCCGGACTATAAATACTCGCGTTCCTTCAACCCCAGGTAGTTCTGTTTGTGACTTGAAAAAGCCCACTGTGTGGGTGAAACGTAGTCAATAAAGGATCACATTATACTGCATTTGTGTTTATATTGCCACACCAGGGGTACTATTTTCTATGCCGATTCAGAATATACACTTAAAAATGTAAAATCAGATCATTTTAGCATCAAACAAGGCCCTCCTTTCCAGGTAATGCCTAATAGAGGAAGATCATATTTTCATTAAGAGTATTCAATTATGGAGAAAATTAAATTATGAAAAATAAAGTTATCAAAAATAATGAAAAAGACTAAAAATTATGAGAAATAACTAAAAATTATGAATAAGTGAAAATTATGAAAAAATAAAATTAAAGGTAAAAAATAGAAATAATGAAAAATTACTAAAAAATGAAATAAAATGACAAACTAAAAAAATAAATAACTAAAAATTAACTAAAAATAATGAAAAATACCTAAATAAAATGAAAACCAAAAAAATAACAAAATATTGAAAAAATTACAAAAATAACAAAAAATGAAAAAATAACTAATAATTTTAAATAATTAAAAATTACATAAAATAACTAAAAATAATGAAAAGTAACTAACTACCTAACCTAACCGTCTCCCAGCCAAAACCTAAACTTAGCCAACCTAACTGTCTCCCCTACCAAAACCTAACTAAACCCACTTAATCATAACTTAATTTTGTATATTATTATTATTATTATAATCAAGGGGGAAGCGCTAAACCCGGAGGATTATACAGCGCCTGGTGGGGGGGGATGTGGAAGGCATTCAGGCTTAATTCGGGGAACTGGAGCACAGATCCAATTCCCTAAATCAAGAGCCCCTCACCAACATCAAGGAACCTTCCTTGAGGGGTTAATAGTATAGCCCAACTGAATCTAACCTAAGCTGAACCTCACCTAACCTAACAAAAGTAACCTAACCTAAACTAACTTAAGCTAAACTAACCTAAACCTAAACCAAATCCTAACTTAAACCTAACTTAACCTAACCTAACCAAAACCTAAACCTAAAAAGTTTATTTAGGCACAGGTACACAAGTACAATTATCATGCATAGTGTAATTACTAGGATAATGCCCCCCCCCCAAAAAAAAAAAAGTCAGTTGTGGTTGTGGTGACTGTTATCACCATGAGTAAACTTTACCATAAATACAGAACTCTGGCACTTTGCTGACCTTGACGAAAAAAATTTTAAATACCTGTCAGACTTCCATGTTTCTACAAACTATACTTTTGCTAGTAGCGACCTGCAAGTCTGCATAGCCATCACAGCTTGACTTATTTGGTACTTGTAAAAGGTAGTGGCTCATTAGGTTAGGTAAGGTTTGTCAGGAAACAGGACAAGTGTTTCCTGATACGGGGCTTGGTCATATGATGACCCGCAACTGGAGCTTTTGGTCATCCGACAGAGGCCTTCCTCTGGCTAAACGGTTCACACCTTTAAAAAGTACAGTTACGATTATAACCATAGGAGATATTGCTCTAATGGCTCATAGATTAGGTTAGGTAAGGTTTGTCAGGAAACAGGATAAGTGTTTCTTGATGCGGGTTTTAGTCAGACGATGACCCGCCATTGGAGCTTTTGGTCATCTGATTGAGGCTTTTCACTGGCTTACCGGTCCACCCCTTTTAAAAAATATGGTTGATGGCTCATTTCTTCTCAAGAGAATAATTTGCAAAACTGAAGCATCAGTTGCATGAGGTTCCATAATAGACGGTTTGACTGACTGGCAAAAGAACCTGGCTTCAATCTCGGGTCTGGGTGAGACCTAAGTCACCTATCATCTACTACTCCTGTTCACCAACAAACAAATAGGTCGGATGTTGTGGCTAACATCCTAGGAAAGGACCTCAGAACCCAACGGAAATAAGCCACATAACTTGGCTTTCTTCTGTTATCATGGGTTAAGGGGCTGATAATCTGAATGAGGTTCTTATAAATGCACTGTAAGCTACATCTAGCCTAATAACAGATACAGTGGTCCCTCAATAATCGTCCGGCCTGAAAGTCGTCCATTTCGGAAATAGTCCGTTTTTTCGTCAAAATATTGGCTCGGAAATGGTCCGGTAACTCACTAATAGTCCTTGGTCCTGGACGCGTACTCACGGTCTGAGCGGCCTCGAGCCGCCTCGGCCTTTCCTTCCCAGCCATGTGCCATTGTTTACCAGTGAGCGACGGTCCCCTCATGTGCTCCAGCGAAATATTTCATATTTCATTTATTTTAGTGCCTGCAAGTTATTTAAGTGCTAAATAAGCTACCATGGCTCCAAAGAAAGCTCCTAGTGCCAAGCCTTTGGTAAAGAAGGTGAGAAATACGATTGAATTTAAGAAAAACATCATTGAACAATATGATAGTGGCGTACGTGTGGGCGAACTGGCCAGGATGTATAACAAATCCCGTACAACCATATCTTCCATCATAGCCAAGAAAAAGGAAATCAAGGACGCTGTTGTTGCAAGGGGGTAACTATGCTGACAAAAGTGAGATCACCAGTACTCGAAGATGTTGAGAAGTTATTATTGGTGTGGATAAATGAGAAACAATTAGCAGGAGACAGTCTTATGACGTCGCTTATTTGTGAAAAGGCTAGGCAGTTGCATGACGATTTGGTAAAGAAATTGCCTGCAACTAGTGATGATGTGAGTGAATTTAAGGCCAGCAAAGGCTGGTTTGAGAGATTTAA